CATGGCTCTTACCGTCAACACCTAGGTGGCTTCCATGGCGACCTGTCAGGCCCAGCCGCCCCGCCATGGTCGAGAGGCCACCGCCGGCGGAGGTTGTGTCGTCCTCATTGCCCTCCCTCACGCGGTTCCTTCCTGGTGGGTCTGCAACAGATCGCTTGTTGCGGTCTGCCTTTTGAAACTGGTGCCCAGTTGCAAGAATATAGTATGTGGCTAGTGTTTCAGTGAAGATAAGGATGAGGGAGAGATGCGGTGCATGGGCCCATGATGACGCGTGGAAGACGTAGGACGTGGCGAACGTCAGACAAAAGATCAGTCGGTTGAGCACCAGTTTTTCCCTTCTTTTATTGAAGCTGATGCAAGCCAACTTAGACAAGTGAAAAATAGAGCGCTAATCGCTGCTAATAGCACACTGTAGTGTTTTGAGAAATGCCATCTAAATAATCGGTGTACAACGTCTCGGTAATAGCATGTTATAACATGATATAGTATGCTAATAGCATAGTTTTAAACTTCTTGGTACTTTTCTACGTTTGGCATGAGTGGTAAGTTATCTAAAAACCATATATCGTATTACCCTCAAATGTGTAATAAAGTTGCGACGCATGGTGCAGATACAGGCCCCAAGCCCCATGGTCAGACTGTTCACCTATTTTGGTAAGTGCTTTCCAGTGATATTGCTTTGCACATGATTTAATGGATTGATGGCATCATGGCAATACGCATAGCATGAGAGAAGCTGCTAGAGATTGGCAGTATGTTATATACACAAAGTTTGTGCAAGCGAGCACACATGCACCTGGATGAACAGTAAAATCAAAAAATAATTGTGATAAACACTGATGTGGGTTTCACTTGTGTGTAAAATTTCGTGATCAAATAACGTTCGTGCAGGTCTTGGAAAAAAACAACACCAATGTCTTCAAATGGAAGCATTTGGAAACATCAAATTTGTTCTGCTGCCCAGGCCTCCATGAATGTCATTTCATCACGAAAATTTACATACATGTTTAACACTCATCAATGTTTGTTGGCAAAAGGTTCAGAATTTTTTAATTTTTTAAGTATTTTTTTGATTTTACTGCTCACATCATGTGCATGTGAGCTCGTGCACAGAGAGAGAATCTAGCACTTCTATTCAAGGTCGCCGGAGCAGAAAGTCGATGAAAGATTCACTCAATGCATGCATGGACCGACGACGAAGTAAACGGAATGGAACGTGCGCGCATGCGTGCATGGACATCTCTGCAACGTATATACAGACATGGAAGAAATAACACACTAACATATTACAATCAACTTGGAGAAATGTATTCGCAACGAACCAAGTAGCTAGCTAGCAGCTTCCTTCTCACGGCTGCTAGAGTAACCATCGTTTTTTTATCCTTCTCGGAGTCAGAGGAATCTCGGCCCATTACTTCTAGCGATGCCGCAACAGAGGTGACGCGGACACAAACATTACTTGATGATGAGCATGCTCCGGTTGCACTTCATTGTTGTGGCAATATTGGCGCAACATATCCGCTAATCTGGTATTCCATGCGAGGAATAAGCTGATGCATGCATGGAGGTAGGTTATCATTTTACAAGCTGTGTGGCACAAAGTTTATTGGAAATTTGGTACGTACCCAAGGGTGATATGTTGCGACCGAGGGAGGATGTTAAGATTTAGTTAGTTAAGATGTTGCGAAGTTCGTATAACCAGTACGTCTATAAATCAGAATTTTCTTGGATCTCATTCCTGATTCACACGTTGAAACTGCTTTTTTCTTTGTTGTAAATGCTCTGTCGAGGCTGTTGCAGCCCTTGGTAGCATACTAGAGGGTCTTCTGACCATCCGCGGACCTAAATCAACCAGACGCTTCTGATCTTGCTATGGGAATAGTGGCCCTAGCAACGTCGTCCTAGTCCTTAGCCCATTCTGTGGAGAATGATGATCCACGGCCCATGGGCGAATTGACAAGGGCATCTAACGGCTAGGGATGCCCAAAACAACAAATCTAACGGCAGAATTTGCTAGTGCCCTAAGATGGATGGATTAATGTCCAATTTTCATGTCTCTAAATGTATATATGCGGCCTCCCCACTCCGCTTCTTACACCGCAAGTTTTAGATTTGTCCACATATTTTTTTTAGTGAAGTGGCTCCTATCCGATTGATTTAGGTGTTTATCCAATAAATTCAAGTGTTTATCGTAAACTTCTAGACTAATTTGTTTCATACAAGTATTGTAGTCATTGTAAAATGAATGGAGAATTGAGATAAGAAAGAAGCATAACGTATGTGTCGCCAAATAGGAGAGACCTTTTGATAAAAAAAACAGGATTTAGTTAACGATTTTTTGTACAAAATAAAAACATCGAGCTTGAAGCAAACAAAATGAATGGAGAGCTCTAATAAGCCTGGGAGGCTGGGACGCAGGGCACCTACATAACTGTACACTTGCTTTGGACAGAAATATTTCCTTGTTTACCAAAGAACCATGGCACACACACTTAACATATATAATTAGAAAACTTCATGATTTTCTCCAACATGATACAATCAAGCAACTTCTATGCCAGCGAGGAGCGGTGTCGTCAAATCCGATTGAGCATGACTTTCCTGAAGGATTGAATTTTTCTTCTATCAATTTCTGGCAAGTGGCAACTTCAAGTTATGGGAATATACTTAGCTAATTTACGGTTTGGACGACCTTCTGGGGAGGAGCGGTGTCACTGAATCCAATGCCCTTCCTTTTGGTGGGGAATATGATGAACACAAAACTGGAGAGAAATGCCATGCCCATCGGCAGATTCTTGAGCAGCTCCTCGGTGTTCCTGCCGGCGTCCTGAAAGAAACAATTCTGCAACCCCACGTCGCTGAAAGCTACCGTGAGGAAAACCACCGCCGCGAAGAAGGCGTGCACGAAGTCCAGCGGCCGGAGGCGGAGCCTCCGGAACTGGTCGAGATCGTTCCACTCCTGCCTCTCCTCCTCGCTGGAGAAGTTGAAAACGTTGAAGCCGTGCAGTGTGGCGAAGCCATAGTATAGCTTTCCATCGCGGCGACCGACAACGCTGTCGGTGAAGGAGAAGAAGAGGCACAACATGGCGAGGACGACAACCAGCACCCCTGTGAGCCACTGGTTGGAGGTCTCGCACTTGCCATGGTTGGTGAAGGACGGCGACAACGCCTGGTACGCCAACACCGTGCCAGTCGGCAGGAGCTGAGCTAGGTTCGCGACGCTCGACATGACCGTGGCAGGTGGTGTAGGCCCTGTGCTAGGCATTGGCGCTGCCGTGGTTGCGGTTGTTATCTCCTCGGTTGTTAATGGGTGTATCTGGATCGTCGTGGATGACGGAGAAGAAGAAGAGGTCATTGTAGGCGTACTGTGCGTGATCTGTGTCCTAGCTCAGAAAGGTGCAATGCTCCAAACAGAACTACAAGTTGCTATTTATATAGGCCCATATCGCTGAATGATTCCAAAGTCCAAACTAGGTTTGCCGTGTTGATTAGTCTCGCTCGATATTGCTGCATGCTGAAGGGCTCCACATGCACGCATGAACGTGGACTTCAACTCACTAGCTAGTTTTGATTACAGTTAGTGTAAGTTGTAATAACTTATAGCCAACTAGTATGACATGACTAGTTTGCCGCCAGCACGTTAATTTATCCGGTGATATATGCTAGGTAAGTCTCCTTCCACGAAGGTGAGGAAGGAGAGCTATATATAAGTTTGTGCAGGAGTACGTCATTTTGTACTCATGCTATGTACTAAGAGCAACTCTAGCATAGTTGTTATATTTTCCGTCTCCATAACGTGTACTAAGAACAACTCTAGCATAGTTTCTATGTTGTCCACCTCCATAACACGTATCGAGCGTGCTCCATGTGCATATGGAGGATGTTGAGGTAATGCGCAAATTCAGAGTTTTCATATTGGTTATCTCCTATCATGGACCCACTCATCAATGGGACATCTTTTTTCCCCGACCCCCCTTCCATCCCCACAGCACGTGAGGTGGGTACCATGTGAAGAATACTTGCACTAATGAGAAATCAAAGCGCCAAAAAATTGGGGTTTGATCCTCGTGGGTTGTGGGTACAACCACACTCCTAACCATCTAATCACATCTTGGTGGTTGATTCTTACATATGTACTACAAATGGAGGGACACAAAACATATTCAAGTTTTGTTGTTTTACACAATCGAGTATGCTACATGTATTTGCACATACAATTATTTTTGTGTAGCTGTCCCAAATTTAAGTGTTTATCCCATTTAATTTAAGTAGTTATCTTAAAATATTAATTGTACTAATTAATAAATTTTATTCATGTATGTTTTATCATTGTAAAATGAAGTGGGTATGGAAGAAGTGTAAGGTATGTGTTGCAACATGGGAGAGATCTCTTGAGGCAAAATGGATTGATCTTTTTTTAATAAAATTATAACATCAATCGATCTTAAAGCAGACAAAGATAATGGAGAGTTATGGTTATGGTAATCCTAGGAAACTAGGATGCTTACATACTTGTGGAATTGACTTCTTAGCAGAAAATCTCTTTGTTTATATGATAACAGGGCATACAATATGTATACTTGCAAAACTTCATGTGTTTCTCTGGTGATATACAGCCATGCAAATTTTATTACACATTTCATTATTTCCATTCAATTCATTATTTCAAACTTGGATACTCCTATTTTTCACTACTTTGACATAATGGAACTATATTGTCATGGTATGCCAAACAAGATGCAAGAAGAAAAGAGTGAATGCACGCACTGTCAGGAAACCGATCGTCTACACACGCACACACGCACGTGTGCGCACACACACACTACAGGCGAAATACTGATAGCAGTATAACTACTAAACCCACCAGAACAAAAAAGAAACAATAACAACATCCACCCCATCATATTTACATGCTAGAAGAAAATTTATGAAACACTTAATCAACATGCGTGTCAACTATCTATGCTTTCACTAGTCCTTTGTTCTTCAAATTCAGGGAATCAAACTTTATTCATGGGATGGACAACCTTCTGGGGAGGAGTAGTGTCGTTGAATCCGATGCCCTTCCTTTTAGTGGGGAAGATGATAAACACAAAGCTGGATAGAAACGCCATTCCCAGCGGCAAGTTCTTGAGCAACTCTTGGGTGTTCCCGCCGGCGTCCGGGAAGAAGCAGGTCTGCAGTCCGACGTCGCTAAACGCCACCGTGAGGAAAACCACGGCCGTAAAGAAGGCATGCACAAAGTCCAGTGGCCCGAGGCGTAGCCTCTGAAACTTGTAAATATCGTTCCACTCCTGCCTCTCCTCCTCGTTGGAGAAGTTGAACACTTTGAAGCCGCGTGGTGTGGCGAAGCCGTAATATTGCTTTCCGTCACGGTGACTGACTATGCTGTCTGTGAAGGAGAAGAAGAGGCACGCGGAGGCGAGGGCGGCAACCAGCACCATGGTGAGCCACCGGTTGGAGGTCTCGCACTTGCCGTGGTTGGTGAAGGACGGGGACAATGCCTGGTATGTGAGCATCGTGCCCGTCGGCAGGAGCTGCGCAAGGTTCGCGACACTCGACATGACCTTGTTCATGGTAGGAGTTGGCACTGCCGTGCCTGTAACTACTATCTCACTATCATCGTTCTTGATTGGTGGAGTTATCTGGATCGCCGTGGACGATGGAGAAGAAGAAGAAGATGCCATGGTATTTATGTACTATGCTCGATTTAATTTGGGTATAGGCAAATTAATCAAAGTCCTGACCAGTTATACATGCATGCATGTACCTGGACTTCAACTCTCTAGCTAGCTCTAGTTGAAAGTTAGTGCAAGCTGTAATTGAATTAGTATGACATGAATAATTAATTAAACCAGCACGTTAGTGCAAGCTGATAATTAATTAAACAAAGCTGTAATTGAATTAGTATGACATGAAAGTTATGGATGTCTTCTTCCAGGAAGGTGAGGAAAGAAAACTAGCTAATCATCAGCTTGTGCATAAGTATTTAATTTTTAACCCGCGTCAATTTTCTCTGATCTCCCCAGCCTGCTTGATTCCCCGTGGACATTTCTGAAAACGATGAAGCAGAACCTTCATGCAAGCATGCCAATAGTTACTCTCGTGCTTGCACCAAAAAGACGGGGAGCCTCTTGGGGAAGAGAGTGATTTTTCTACCATGTAAAATGTGTGTTGATCAACCGTTGAATATGTAGGAGCTTCGTGCATTCAGATTTTGTTTGTATATGGCGAAGCATTAACATACACCTTGTTCGTATATGGCTCCCCATCAAGATTTTCTTTAAATTAATTTGTCATACATGTTCTTTTTTCTATTTTTCGGTTAATCTATGCATCATAGAAATATTCGGCGTGCCTGATATTGCCTATATCAGTATATCTGTTCCAATTTACCAACTTCCATATTATTATGCTTGTTTTATTATTATTTCATATGCATACTATATGTTGTGCCAATCAATAATATAGCCCCAGTCAGATAACACACTGGCCAAATGACACCAATTCATGGAAGAATGTTAGCTACTGACGCTGATTTCCAATAATCAATTTTGAGTATTTGTGGTCCAGTGTATTTGGGGTATTATATGCGCATAGAGATTAACTTAGAGCATGTAGAAGGGTGTTGTTTTGGGGTATTATGGAGGAAAGTGGTTAGGATAATTTCCAATCAAAATCGTTTCTAAATCATTTTTATAGGATACGATAAGAGATCTTTTATATCCGAACACAATCCAATCTGAACCTGAGTCCTATTGATAGGATATGGTATTACTAATATACAACACGGTAGGATAATCCATTTTTTCTAGGCGAATAATCCAACCTTTAAATACCAGTATCCTATTTGTCTGTCAAGTTTGAAGTATTAACTAGCAATACATGAATGCTATCTTTGCTTGAGACAAGACATAAGCTTGTTATTTACTTATTTTAGTACTTTATAGTGCTTTATTTGTGCTTAAAGCATATAAGTATTAATGCTTTCTCAATGTTGATGTATAATTCTGCTTTAAATCATTTTTATATTCCTCGTATATGTATGTGGTATATAACCATTTATGATCTGACTCCATTCTGTTATTGTATGGTGTCTGAATCCGGCATAATTCACTCGAATCCACATATGTCTTGCTTCCCAATCCAAAAAAATAGGATATGGTACGAGCATTATTGATCCGAATTCGTCCCGGTTCACCCTACAATGAAATATTAAAATATCACCATTTGTGCAATATAGCATGATTTGTCACTACAACTAAAGGTTTATTTATTGCCCTTTCTAGACTTCCGATGATGCTGCCGCTGCCTAGCGCTACCTTTTTCAACAGACATTGGTTCGGTTGTCATTGTTGGCCTTCTGTTTTTGTTGTTGCGGGTATGGATGTATATGTGGGGACTTTGGAAACTGGTTGCTAGGTTAGTTTTGTAGTGCTACCAATTTTCATCCCATGGTGTGCATGCCGGCTGCGAGCGAATGCAGTGCCCAGTGGGTTTGCTAATGATGCCTTCAACTCAATCTTCCTCTTTTCTGTACGTTTCCATACTGGTTGATGTAATCTCGAACTATGTATTTTCACTATGTTAAAGCAATGGAAAGACCATAGACAGGTTGATAGCACTGCCACTCTATATGGATGCAATGTTGTAAGAGTACTACTATGTGTTTCTTCAATTTGTTCCGCTACTTTGGTGCCGTGATTGAGGTTTCTAATCAACGCCCGCAATGCCTCTATATATTGACATCACTCTCATCAGCTAGCTAGCCCGCCCTTATATGATCCTACCTTTTTTTGAAAAGAGGAAAAAAACTACATCAAGTGATGCACACAACCTATAACTAGGATCTCGTACATGACAAAGACTCCCTGTCAATTTCATCATCAGCCGTCTGATCGTACTGCAGCAACATCGATCGTATATCCATAAAAAACAATGAATATTGACTGGTTGATACAAGATATATATTTCATATTTAAGAGAAGAGAACCTCACCGTAAGCAACTTGGCTCAGCCACTCGTGCTAATTAGACATGCATGGGCATGGCAAGAGAGAGATGTATGCATTGACACGGTAAGGAAAGTGACCTCTCAAAATACAAGCGGTTGATCGACGAGACATCGATATCTTCTATCCATTCAAGGTCGCTGGAGACGGAAAGAAATGTTCACGGTCCATATCGATATGCATATGCATGGACTGAGGACAAATTAAATTGATGGAAAAGAAATCAGCTGCATGAGGCTCTAAGTATAGTTGAAGCCGGCATATACGACGTGAATAGCTCTACAAGATATATATTTTTTGGAAATGGAGGTGTGCCCCCGGCCTCAGCATCATAATGATGTATGCAGCCATCTTATTAAAAATCCATGAAATATCAAAAAGTCATAAGAGTATTACAGCTTGCAAGCGGAGCGAATCAAAAGCAAAAAGAAAAGTACATGCTGACAATCACAACCGATACGATAATATGAAAGACAAGCTCCCTAGACTCCCATCTTGTTATTCGACCGTCATCCGAATTGGTTGAATATAGCCCGTGCTACCATCTCTCACTGGTTATACCCAGTAACCAAAGGCTTTCCGGAGTCCATAGGAGTGAGTAAGGATCACATACGGATCCAAGCGGTAGCTCTGAAGATGACCTGCAGGAAAGTTAAAGTGTGTTGTCTGTTAAAAATCATATCATTCCTACAGTTCCATATAGCCCTCAAAAGCACACATATTCCTATCCGAATACGAGCCGCAATAGTCTGTTCAACCTTAGCTAACCACGTCCCAAACAACGACGCAATGTCAACTGGAGGATTAATGTTGAAGGCTATATGAATCATTCTCCAAAGCAATTTGGCGAGTGGGCATTCAAGGAATAAATGTTGTATTATTTCATCATGGTCACAAAAACAACACCGCGAACTACCTACCCATCGCCTCTTGATTAAGTTGTCCTTACTGAGTGTCACTTGCTTGTGGACGAACCACATAAAGATTTTAATATGCAAAGGAACATTAATCCTCCAAATATGCAACGATCTTGAAATTGGGCCAGAATTGATCAAATCCATATAGAACGATTTCACCGTAAATATCCCATTTTTAGCTAATTTCCATGTTGTCGAATCCAACTGGTCGGAGAGTTGAACATCAATCAATCTCCAAACCAAATGCATCTAGGCATTCCATCTCTCACCAACTAACGCCTGTCTGAACTAAATATTCAATGGAGTAGTTTGGAAAAATTGTGCCTACGTAATCCTCCTTATGTTGCACAATGTTATAAAGGGTGGAACATTGGATGGCCAGGGGCGTCTCTCCTAACCACGTATCATCTCAAAATCTTGTTGACATCCCATTGCCGACCAAGAATTTGACCCTACGAAAGAACAAGTCCTTCGTTCTCATAAGTCCCTTCCAGAATGACGAGTCAGTTGGTCTCATGATAATCTGGACGAGCGTTTTCGACTGTAAATATTTATTGCGCAGAATTTGTGCCCACATACCCTCCGGCTCTGTCTCTAACCTGTAGAGTCATTTGCTCATAAGGCATTTATTCTTGATTTCTAAGTTCTCAATACCGAGACTCCCTTGGTCTTTTGGTCGGCAAAGGATATCCCCGTGCGAGACGGTATTTTCTCTTGGCCTCATCAGAAGAACCGAGCTCTACAAGATATGGACTTGAAGGAAACAAATTTTATTGGGGTTATCACTAACGTGCAATCTTATAGGGTCGTTCGTCCTCATGGCTGCTAGGGTGATGACGGCCGGACATCCATCTTTTTTATCCTGCTCGGAGTCACAGTATGTGTGCACTGCATGCTGTATTGCTGTATTATTTTCTACGCAGATATACAACTCTTCCATTGGTTTTTATTGTTGTACCAAAAACAGCATTGGCTGGCCTTTCTGAGAAAATATTCTTCCAATCCAGGGGCGGTCATTGAGTCTGAAAGTTAACTATTCCCACCGGTTGGGTCTATAAGTTGGGCACATATTTTCGAAGTCTTCAATTCTACTAACGAAACATGGGTAATATGTCATAAAAACATATGTTTAGAAACTTCGTTCGACAATGAATATATAACACATGTTTTGCTAGTTAAATTGAATACCTAAAAACCTGTCCCCGATTTATAAACCCGATCAGGGAGGAGTCGATTTTGTTCCTCATGTATTAGAGGGACCAGAATGTATGTGTTTGCTCTTCTTGAAGGTGATGCACGCGCTGTTACATCACATATTGTCGCACAAAATCAATATGCCAATAACATAAAACTGAATTATTCAAGAAATAATATACTTTTGCTAACATAAAGTCAAATTTACTGATGAAACAAGTCTTGGGCCAACTTTATAGATAAAGTACGAACCAAATTACACGGCCGAATAATACAATATAATGAGAAAACCCTCCTACAAAGTAGATCCGGAATAACCAGACAACAAAAATCGAAACAACAGCTACGTAGCCGAGAAAGCGCACAGGAAGGCGTGAAGACAACCTCACGCCACACGCTAGAACACCAAGGCTCCTCAACAATGACCTCAGGAGGGAAAACAACGCTAAACATTGCCGCTGTCAAGTCTCCACCCAGAACTTGGGCATGGAGAGAGGAGAACCGCAACGATATCCTCAAGAGGAGAGACACACCCACGTGTGTCATCGCCATCTGCGTGGAGCTT